AAAAAAAAAAAAAAGAGGTTGAGAAGTTAGAGGGTTGATATGTTGTGGGGTTGTTAACCAATGTCATAAAATAACGTGTACTTCTGTTTCGTGAGAAATTATTTGTTCTGTAAGCCTTCACCTGAAGTACAATTAAAAAAAAAAAAGAACCAAAATCAAAGCCGTTACCATCAAGTCGATTCTGATTCATAGCGACCCTATAGAAGAGAGTAGAACTGCCCCATAGAGTTTCCAAGGAGCACCTGATGCATTCAAACTGCTGACCTTTTGGTTAGCAGCTGTAGCACTTAACCACTGCGCCACCAGGAAGTCTTCCAAATAAAACTTCGGCACCAGATATTTAGGAGTCCCTGGGTGGTGCAAGGAGCTCTAGGAGTGCAGTGGTTAAGAGCTATGGCTGCTAAAGGTCCATGGTTTGAATCTACCAGCCGCTCCTTGGAAACCCCATGGGGCAGTTCTTCTCTGTCCTATAGGGTCACTATGAGTCAGAATCAACTCGACAGCAGCACATTTAGTTTGTTTTTGGATGGTGCAAAAGTTCGCCACTTGACTGCTAACCAAAAGATTGGCATTCAGATCCACCAAGAGTCTCCTCAGAAGAAAGGCCGGGTGATCTACCTCCAAAAAGTCAGCCATTGAAAACCCCATGGAGCTCAGTTCGACTCTTACACACATGGGGTCACATTGAGGCCAAGTCAACTTGATGGCAACTGGTTTGTTTTTGTTTGTTTTTTAACAGCTATTTAAAGCTATAGGTTTTGTTTTATTCGATTTTTAGACTTGTTGTTTTGTTGTTAATGGAAGTGACATGGTCTTTGATTTGCTTTGAATCCCTGAATTTGTGTTATTTTAGTGTGGTTCGACCCTGAATTTATTGAGGCAAGTATGTGCCTAGCTCTGGGTTAGACATTGCTGGAACGAGCTAACAAAAGCTCCAGGCCCCCTACCTCAAAGAGCTTACCACACCTCCTGAGGTAACATAAACACACATATGAGGTGGGGGCGGGGGGGAATTTGAGGCAAAATATGAGCAGTGTTTGTCAGTATGATTCAGTGCTGCAGCACATCAACAGTGTGCTGGTCATGCATTGGAGCTGAGAATGCCTCAGAGAGCTTGGTGGGAAAAAGACATTTTTGAAAGTCACACAAATACATAAGTACAGGTTATGAGTGCTTTAAAGCTGTGTGGCTTTTCAGCGCATCAGGATCCCCTGGAGGGCTTGTTCCAACACTGGTTCCCTGCACTGCCCTCACCCCCATCTCACTCAGCAGGCCAGGTGCTGCCCAAGAATGTACATTTCTAACAAGTTCCCAAGGAGCTCGATGCTGCTCCTCTAAAGGAAAAGATGCTAGATACCCTGTCTGAGAGTTTAGCATTGTCGAGGGAGCCAAGGTAAGCTCCCCTGGGAAAGCAACTTCGAGACTGAGAAGGGCTCAGCCAGGGAAAGGGAAGGTGGAAGGCCATTTCAGACCGAGGCGGGGGGTGGGAGGAGGGTCGGACGATCAATGCCTTTGGTCATCTCTAGAACAGTAAGGGCCAGCTGAAGGGCTTTAGACAAGGAAAGTGCTGTGATCATATTTGTGTTTAAAGAAATTATCCACCTATCATTTCTCTCTCTCTCTCTCTGCCCATATACCTATCTGTCTGCCTACCTATCTATCCATCCATCTATCCATCAGCTTTCACCCCACCACCACCATCATCACTGTCTCTGGCCCCCATCCTCCTGCCCACTCCCTGCCTGGCTAGCCAGGGTGTGTCCAAGGACACCCGAGCAACCACCCCCTCTCCAGTGCCTGACCTGGCCCAGGCTGCATTCACTTCTGCAGAAAGAAACTTGTCCCCAGTCTACATTCAAAGCACATGAGTTGCTGGGGGTAAAAAAGCACCTCCTGACTTCTCTCTGTCCTCCAGTCCATGTGGTCCTTTTCACATCTGAATGAACTATCACCACCATTTGTATTTTAATGGGACAGAGAAGAATTTATGGGTGAAGCTGAGGCTTCTCTAATTCTCAGACAGAAGAGAGGGTCCCATTGTGCAGATGATTGTAAATAAATTCAGCTTCCTCCCTCCAAGAATAGCAGAAGGGTGACAATGAAGTCTATATCCATGGGTCTGTGTCACATAAAGGATCCTGCCTTGGCAGCAGGCCTGACTTAGTGTGGGGGTTGCATTAGGCAGAGCTGGGGATTTTCCCATCATCAGACTGAGTCGGGGGCAGCAACACAACATCCTCTCTACAGAAATGAATCCTAGGCAGACAACTAGTCCAGGGACCCGGCACTGACTGAGGACTTAAGGTATTAAAAGTCTAGGCTCTCTGTCCATCTCAAAGCCAGTCATTCCCCAGGGCAGTCCCAGTTCCTTCCATAGGGGCCCCCAGGATCACAGCACTGCTGTCGACAGGGCCCTTACCCCATGTGCCCTAACTGGTACCCATGGAACAGTAGAGGCCAAAGACCACTCTGCTGAGACATGAAGTCTTCTTCCATGGCTTCCTCCTGACTTGGGGGACCTCCAGTGGGCACTCTTACCTTACTCCTCTGGAGTATCTATAGTGGGGGTTCCTGACTGAGTGGGCACGTCGTTATCCAGGGTGTCCACAGAGCCACACGTGAATTTTCTGCATGCTGGGACACCATTTAAACTACAGCATCTTTGGCCTAAGGGTGAGATCTTCACGACAGTGACATCAGCAGTGCACAGACTTAAAAATATCAGGGTGACTCCGTTCCCATTTTCACCCAGTGCTTTGCCAATGGTCATTGCCACCTGGGGCTCTCTGTAAGTGGAACCCCTAGATGCACCCAGGGAATGTGCTGTCTTCCACAAAGGGTCTTGCAGTTTCACAGCCTAAGATGTAAAAAGTCCTTCATAAATGTCGTTTGTACTTGGTGTTTCGCAGGCCACCTTGCCCTCCCCATGTACGTATTTTGAAACTCAAAATCGTGCTTATTCTGGACCCTGGAGGCACCTTTCCAATGCCATCTCTCCTCTTCTCCATACAGGAAGCCTACGTCATGGCCAGTGTGGACAATCCTCACGTGTGCCGCTTGCTGGGCATCTGCCTGACCTCCACAGTCCAGCTTATCACACAGCTCATGCCCTTTGGCTGCCTCCTGGACTATGTCCGCGAGCACAAGGACAACATCGGCTCCCAGTACCTCCTCAACTGGTGTGTGCAGATTGCAAAGGTAAATCATGAGGGAGCCCTGCCCACTGGGGTGCTCACCGAGGGGCAGCTGCCTTGGAAAAGTAGAGGAGACATTTCAGGCAAACAGGATGTTTAGCTCCCTGTCCCTCCACTTCTGGGAATGATGCTGATCATTAGCAAGAGCATCCAGAGAAAGTAGCCGAGGGAAAGGGGAGAAAATGAAGACCAGTGGAAAACCAGCAATGAGGTCCTGCATCCGGGGGTAACAAAGAGTTTGCCAAGCTGATATGTGTATTTGTGTTGGTGCGTATACAAGATATACACTTCTTTCTTTCAGATCATATTGAATTGATTGCCTTTTGCACTGAATTGGTAGCTGGCCCACCTTCATAGTCAAAATCTAATTGCTCAGCTACATGTGAATGATTTTCTATTCTTGAATACTTGGGATGATTGGTAGTGTTATTTCTCTGCACATTTTTTGTTGAATGCTGTGGTAATTTGTAGTATAAGAAGAGGTATGATGGTTTACACGCAGTAAAAGACTTGATAACGAGGCCAAGCCAGCCAGGCTGGAGGCCAGAGAAGGACTCAGAGATGGTGTGACCGTGGGGCAGGGCAGCTACTGGTACAAGGCCTGAGTGGGCATGTTAGAGGAGGACTGACTGAGTGAACAGATGCTTCTGCTATTTCTCTGGGTTTTACATGTCCCCCTGCTGACAGGATTGGTCCAGAGCAAGGGAGGGGCTGAGCATGCAGACAGTCGCCAGGTGGTCCCACCTCTGTGCTGAGAACAGGTACAGAGCAATGAGTCAGACATTTAGCTGCTCATACTGCCTCAGAAGGACTTCTGCTCTCATCTCAAATCTCTCCTGTCTCTATCTCAGCCCTGCATCAGTTATTTGCAACCCAACTTGCTAAATTCTTTTTTTTCCTGACAATGAGTTGAATATAAAGAATTCGTGGACAGGCCCTCTCATTGCCCCTAGCCCCCCTTAGAAAACAAGGCCAGGGTATCAAACGATGTGCCAGTGACCACGGAGCCAGGGAGCAAATCAGCCACCAGAACCTGGCCAGTTCCACTTGTCCAGTTCCATTGCTCACATCCCCATGGTCAGTGACGCGATTGGTCCTGCTGAATTACTATCGAGCTGCCCGCCCCATCTCCATGCTGACTTAGAAGGTGACTTCTAAGACAAACAAAAATATATTTTGGGGACTGCTTTGATGGCATCTACTCTTGGCTCATGACGCCACAAGGTGGCCTCTTGCCAGAACAGTGTTGCCGGGGTGAGGCAGGCTCCCATCCTGTAGCTGAGGTTCTGGGGCCATGTTGGCCAAGCAAGTGGCTGCCTCCCAGGATAGCCAGACAGCAGCACCTCCTATTTCCTCTAGCGCCATCTGGTGTTGATTTCTTGGCAACAGCCACGGAAGGCTCCCAGGGCCGTGGAAGTGTGTGTGCTCATTCTTCTCTAGGCACTGCAGTACTATAGGCAGGTCACCTAGTATTTTTGCCACTCTCCCTACTGTTACTCTGGATCACAGGGAATCTCACAATGCAGGAACCTCCTCATCAGTTACTAGAAGTTAGTCCTGGAGGAAGGTCGTGTGTGCTTGGGATGCTGTGGTTTCCTGAAAATGTTTGTTATTTCTTTGTGTGACTGGCTCGGGGGAAGAGGCAGTGACCCCAGAGCAGATTCTGTCACCTTGTTTTATTTTCTTTTTAGCACATACTGCCCACTGGAAAGCTCTAGTTTATTTACTTGTTTACTTGAGTTGTCTCCTCTGCTCTGACTAGAATGTGGGCTGTGTGAGAGCAGTCCCCTGTCTGCGCCACCCACTGCCCCGGGGAAGGGCTACCAGAACTCTGCACACCTCCCACCGGCCTCACCTGGGTGATTCACAGCATCCAGTTCACCAGAGGGTGCCCAGATGTTTAGCATTTCTTCTCTAGTTATCATGTGAAGTCTCAGCTTCCCTTGCTATGTGATGAGAGATGGTCTCCACCATCAGTATGAAACGTTCAAGTGACCATTTCACCTTAAGGAGCATAGAGTCTCAGTAGATTCTGCCCAGTACAGAACTAGACGTAGGGTTCCAGTGGACTATCGATTCAAATCTGGATTCTGGCATTTATTAGCTTTATGACTTTGCGCATTTGCTTAATCTTTTTGCGCCTAGTCTCTTTGACTGTAAAATGGGGTTCTGCCACTTGTCTGTGTAGTGAGGGTGAGATAAATTAGCCTCTGGGAAGCACCTACCATAGGTTCTAGGACACATCAGGTTATCCCTAAGTATTCATTCTCTTCCTGCATTCCTTTTCCCATATTTTGGCTAAACTGGGTTTGAGTAATGACTAAAATCTAGCACAAAACAGTCACTGTCTTAATCTGGTCTCCCATCAACTTTCATTTCTTAGAGCGGCGTCTCTGTTCCAGCATCTTTGTTCACGAGTTACCTCTAGGATGTGGCTTCTCCCTCCTTCTCCATTGCAATCTTACATTCAAATCTACCTGTCCTCTAGTGTCTATATAGATGGAAATTTATTTGACCCCCAGACAGCCTTCTGCAGCACAATGAAAAAAAAAACACACACAAAAACCCTAATATAACAGTGTCCACTACAGAGCAAAACTCAGCTTAGCATGGACGGACCCTCGGCAAGGATGAGTTCCCAAAGTTCTTGAGGTTGAGTTTCCAGGGCTTAAAGGTTTTTCGAGATAATTTTCTATATAATATTACTCAACACTTCAACCTGTTATTTTAAGCCACTGTGGCACCTGTTTAGTTTTATTTTGATTTCACGTCCTTCCACATTATGGAAGACAGTTGACTCTGTGATAGATTTGCTCTTTACTCACAAGAGAAACCATATTCCACTTATTTGTGGATCACTGTTGTCATGCATTGCTCGTCTTTGGAAGGAAAGGAAAATGATGTCTTCCCCAGTTGTTAAGAAGGAAATTTGCTTTTGGGCTAGCGATGATTTATCTGAGCATTAAACAATTCTCTTTGAAAAAGTTTCAGTAAAACTACCCAGAAGCACTTAGTGGCCGACCAGAAACTAAACGATGGCACCTTCAAAGTGGGATTTATTGACTTTTAAATGTCCTGTGTTAATTCACGGTGGCATAGACTATCCTGGAAAGTTTTCTAAATGTAAGTGGGAGAGCTGGCCACTATAAATGCAAGTTTATTGTTCCTGCTAAACTGTTAAGAGGATAAATAAGACTATATCAACTAGGCAAAAGAAAAAAGAAAAAAAATTAGAGGTTTGGTGGGGAAGAAGGCAAGATAGGGTTGGCGGTGCATCTCTGGTGAAAAGGGAGTATACTTTCCACTCATGACCCTGCGATGCACTCACAGGTTGTCCAGGTTCCTAAATAGCCAGAAGGCCATTAGAAAAACAGCACTAATGACTGATAGTGATTCCTCTATGAATATCATGTTGTTCCAAACAGAGCCTGAATACAGCAGGCACTCCGAGAGTGTTAGCATGTGGAAAGTAGCTTTTATTACTTACAGAAAGAAGCAGACAGCACACCACAACACATGCAGATCCATTTTGGAGTCACTCCCCCCTACAACTCAAAAAGGCTGCCTGGGTGGAGATGGCCACCCTTCTGTGTGTACCCTGCTTTCTACCATAGGTGAGGGACTTGAAGGAGGCCTACCTGCTGTTGATCTCCCCTGGCTAGGTAGGCTTAGTTAGGTGGCTTGAAATCTTCTACTACATGTGCTCCACCTGGCACCATGGCCAAGAGACTCCAAAAATCCCTTCCCCAGCCATTTTTGTACAGCAAAGCCTATGTGACACACTACATAGAGTGCAGTTTAGATTTTTTTTTTCCCAGCTGACTACCCTAGGAGGGGAGGATCAGACCCCTTGGCACCAACCCAGAAAGGTATCTCTAACCCTGCCGACAAATATCGGGCCTCAGAGGGTAGGGGGGCAGTGGTTTGTTCCGAGGCCTCATCATGTCCCCTCCCTTCCTGAGACCTGTTGCCAAGGTGATGAGTTGGGGACTCCCAATTCATTTGTGCACGTTTAATTGTTGCCAGGCCGTTTTAGAAATAGAAAAGCACATTGTGGAGAATGAAGAAAACCAAAGACCCAAGGGAAATATTAGTCCAAAGGACTATGGACCACAACTACCACAGCCTCCACCAGACTGAGTCCAGTACAACTAGATGGTGCCTGGTTACGACCACAACTGCTCCGACAGGGATCACAACAGAGGGTCCCAGACAGAGCTGGAGAAAAACGTAGAACAAAATTCTAACTCACAAAAAAGGCCAGAATTACCTGTCTGACAAAGACTGGAGAAACCCCAAGATTATGGCCCCTGGACACCCTTTTAACTCAGTACTGAAGTCACTCCTGAGGTTCACCCTTCAGCCAAAGATTAGACAGGCCCATAAAACAAACAGTAATGCCCATAAATCAACCAAGTATATGAGACTAAGTGGGCTCACCAGCCCAGGGGCAAGGATGAGTAGGCAGGAGGGGACAGGAAGGCTGGATGAATGGAAATGGGAAACCCAAGAGTGAGAAAAGGAGAGTGTTGACACATCGTGGGGTTTGCAAACAATGTCACAGAACGGTATGTGTATTCATTGTTTAATGAGAAACTAATTTGCTCTATAAACCTTCAGCTAAAGCACAATTGGGAAAAAAAAAAAACAAAAAAACAGGGCTAGTTATTTTTACCTGATGGTGCAGGGTAGATGCAGTGGTTAAGAGCTCAGGCTGTTAGCCAAAAGGCTGGCAGTTCAAATCCACCAGCTGCTACTTGGAAACCCTGTGGGGCAGCTGTACTCTGTCATATAGGTTCTCTGTGAGTCGGAATCAAGTGGACAGCAATGGATTTGTTTGTTTAATTTTTACGTTGAAGCACTGTTGTGAGGGTTAAATAAGATAATAAATGTAAAGCTCTCAATAAAAGGAGTGCTATTAAAAAAGGAAAAAGAAAAAAGCTTGATTGCTCAGGAATTATAACAGCTGTTTTCAGAAACCAGAGCCAAAGGCCAAACCAAGTT